CACCCGGGCATCGATCAGCCTCCCATTATATCTGTACCATATGGAGATTCCCCCGGTACAGCTATTGAAGGCTTCATGAACTACGTGGTCAAAATAGATGTTAAATAATGTGGGAGCCAGAGGACATCCCTCTCGCACCCCAAGGTGTACAGGGAATGGCTCTGACTCCCGGCCACGTAGTTTTACCCGGGCCCGCTCACCATCATCAACGTCCTTAATGATCGTGAGCAGAGGGTCAGGTACTCCAAAAGCACGAAGAACGACCCAGAGCCCAGGCCTACTGATGGTATCATAGGCCTTGACCAGGTCAATAAAGCAGAGATGTAGGTCTTGTTGGAATTCCCTACACCTCTGCTGTAGCAGACGGACAGAAAATATGGCATCTGTGCAGGACCACCCTTTCCTGAAACCGCATTGGGGCTCCGCAAGCCTCTCCTCAGCGTGCCTGGCAAGGCGATGCTGAATAATCCTTGCGAGGACCTTTCCCGGCACACTGAGGAGTGAGATGCCCCTGTAGTTGTTACAGTCTGTGCGGTCCCCCTTCTTAAAGAGGGGGACCACCAGGGCATCCTTCCAATCCTGCGGAACCCGTCCAGTGGTCCAGGCTGTTGTTATGATGTCATATAGGCCAGTCACACACACAGACACACAGACACAAAGACAAAGATCCCTCGTGTAGCCTGTACCAGACTGTAGGGGCAAGTGCTGCTAGTAGCGAGTAGCACCACCTATGATGTACACACACAGACAAAGCTCCCCCAGGTAGCCTCTAGCAGGGCTGTAGGGGCAAGTGCTGCTAGTGGCGAGTAGCACCACCTACGATACACACACAGACAAAGCTCCCCTAGGTAGCCTCTAGCAGGGCTGCAGGGGCAAGTGCTGCTAGTGGCGAGTAGCACCACCTATGATGTACACACGCAGACAAAGCTCCCCAGGTAGCCTCTAGCAGGGCTGTAGGGGCAAGTGCTGCTAGTATCTAGTAGCACCACCTATGAATGCCGGCACGGCACACGAGGGGGTGGGTGGCCAGCGCCACGCCCGGCCGTCTTTGTCTCTCTCCCAGTGCTAGCGATGTTCACTACACCACCGCTACACCAGGTGCTCATTTGAGGCTGAGTCGACCTAGGGGAGGCCCAGAACCCGCTCAGATAATCGTCACTGCCGTGAGGGGGAATGGAACTCGGGTTGCCAGGTTCGTAGTGCAGCGTAGCGCTAACCGCTACTACACTACCACACACACTGACACACTGACACACACTGACACACCACACACACTGACACCACACTGACACACCACACACACTGACACACACTGACACACACTGACACAACACACACACTGACACACTGACACACACTGACACACACTGACACACCACACACACTGACACACACTGACACACACTGACACACACTGACACACCACACACACTGACACACCACACACACTGACACACACTGACACACGACACACACTGACACAACACACACACTGACACACGACACACACTGACACAACACACACACTGACACACGACACACACTGACACAACACACACACTGACACAACACACACACTGACACACCACACACACTGACACAACACACACACTGACACACCACACACACTGACACACACTGACACACCACACACACTGACACACCACACACACTGACACACCACACACACTGACACACACTGACACACCACACATACTGACACACACTGACACACCATACACACTGACACACCACACCAACTGACACACACTGACACACCACACACACTGACACACCACACACACTGACACACTGACACACACTGACACACCACACACACTGACACACTGACACACACCGACACACACTGACACACCACACACACTGACACACCACACACACTCACACACACTGACACACACTGACACACACTGACACACACATGTACACACACGTGTACACGCACACGCGTGTATAAACGACTGGGTGAGTGACTGGGTGAGTGACTGGGAGAGTGAGTGGGTGAGTGAGTGACTGGGTGAGTAAGTGACAGGGTGAGTAAGTGGGTGAGTGAGTGGCTGGGTGAGTGACTGGGTGAGTGACTGAGTGAGTGACTGGGTGAGTGACTGGGTAAATGAGTGACTGGGTGAATGAGTGACTGGGTGAATGAGTGAGTGGCTGGGTGAGTGGCTGGGTGAGTGGCTGGGTGAGTGGCTGGGTGAGTAGCTGGGTGAGTGGCTGGGTGAGTGACTGGGTGAGTGACTGGGTGAATGAGTGACTGGGTGAGTGAGTGGCTGGGTGAGTGACTGGGTGAGTGACTGGGTGAGTGACTGAGTGAGTGGCTGGGTGAGTGACTGGGTGAGTGACTGGGTGAATGAGTGACTGGGTGAGTGAGTGGCTGGGTGAGTGACTGGGTGAGTGACTGGGTGAGTGAGTGAGTGACTGGGTGAGTGACTGAGTGAGTGGCTGTGGTGAGTGACTGGGTGAGTGACTGGGTGAGTGACTGGGTGAGTGAGTGACTGGGTGAGTGAGTGACTGGGTGAGTGACTGGGTGAGTGACTGAGTGAGTGACTGAGTGAGTGGCTGGGTGAGTGGCTGGGTGAGTGAGTGGCTGGGTGAGTGACTGGGTGAGTGAGTGACTGGGTGAGTGAGTGACTGGGTGAGTGACTGGGTGAGTGACTGAGTGAGTGACTGAGTGAGTGGCTGGGTGAGTGGCTGGGTGAGTGAGTGAGTGGGTGAGTGGCTGGGTGAGTGACTGGGTGAGTGGCTGGGTGAGTGACTGGGTGAGTGACTGGGTGAGTGAGTGACTGGGTGAGTGACTGGGTGAGTGACTGGGTGGGTGAGTGACTGGGTGAGTGACAGGGTGAGTGACTCAGTGAGTGACTGGGTGAGTGGCTGGGTGAGTGGCTGTGTGAGTGGCTGGGTAAGTGACTGGGTGAGTGACTGGGTGAGTGACTGGGTGAGTGAGTGACTAGGTGAGTGACTGGGTGAGTGACTGGGTGAGTGACTGGGTGAGTGACTGGGTGAGTGAGTGACTAGGTGAGTGGCTGGGTGAGTGACTAGGTAAGTGGCTGGGTGAGTGACTGGGTGAGTGACTGAGTGAGTGACTGGGTGAGTGACTGAGTGAGTGACTGGGTGAGTGGCTGGGTGAGTGGCTGGGTGAGTGGCTGGGTGAGTGACTGAGTGAGTGACTGGGTGAGTGGCTGGGTGAGTGACTGAGTGAGTGACTAGGTGAGTGGCTGGGTGAGTGACTGGGTGAGTGGCTGGGTGAGTGACTGAGTGAGTGACTGGGTGAGTGGCTGGGTGAGTGACTGGGTGAGTGGCTGGGTGAGTGAGTGACTGGGTGAGTGGCTGGGTGAGTGACTGGGTGAGTGACTGAGTGAGTGACTAGGTGAGTGGCTGGGTGAGTGACTGGGTGAGTGGCTGGGTGAGTGACTGAGTGAGTGACTAGGTGAGTGGCTGGGTGAGTGACTGGGTGAGTGGCTGGGTGAGTGAGTGGCTGGGTGAGTGACTGGGTGAGTGACTGGGTGAGTGGCTGGGTGAGTGGCTGGGTGAGTGGCTGGGTGAGTGACTGGGTGAGTGAGTGACTGGGTGAGTGACTGGGTGAGTGAGTGAGTGACTGGGTGAGTGACTGGGTGAGTGACTGGGTGAGTGGCTGGGTGAGTGGCTGGGTGAGTGACTGGGTGACTGACTGGGTGAGTGGCTGGGTGAGTGACTGGGTGAGTGGCTGGGTCACCCAGCCACTCACTCACCCAGTCACTCATTCACCCAGTCACTCACCCAGTCACTCACCCAGCCACTCACTCAGTCACTCACCCAGTCACTCACCCAGTCACTCATCCAGCCACTCACTCACCCAGTCACTCATTCACCCAGTCACTCACCCAGTCACTCACCCAGCCACTCACCCAGCCACTCACCCAGCCACTCACTCATTCGCCCAGTCACTCATTCACCCAGTCACTCATTCACCCAGTCACTCACCCAGTCACTCACCCAGCCACTCACCCAGCCACTCACCCAGTCACTCACTCACCCAGTCACTCACCCAGCCACTCACCTAGTCACTCACCCAGTAACTCACCCAGCCACTCACTGAGTGACTGGGTGAGTGACTGGGTGAGTGAGTGAGTGACTGAGTGAGTGACTGGGTGAGTGACTGAGTGAGTGGCTGTGGTGAGTGACTGGGTGAGTGACTGGGTGAGTGACTGGGTGAGTGAGTGACTGGGTGGGTGAGTGACTGGGTGAGTGACTGAGTGAGTGACTGAGTGAGTGGCTGGGTGAGTGGCTGGGTGAGTGAGTGGCTGGGTGAGTGACTGGGTGAGTGAGTGACTGGGTGAGTGAGTGACTGGGTGAGTGAGTGACTGGGTGAGTGACTGGGTGAGTGACTGAGTGAGTGACTGAGTGAGTGGCTGGGTGAGTGGCTGGGTGAGTGAGTGACTGGGTGAGTGGCTGGGTGAGTGACTGGGTGAGTGGCTGGGTGAGTGACTGGGTGAGTGACTGGGTGAGTGAGTGACTGGCTAAGTGACTGGGTGAGTGACTGGGTGGGTGAGTGACTGGGTGAGTGACAGGGTGAGTGACTCAGTGAGTGACTGGGTGAGTGGCTGGGTGAGTGGCTGGGTGAGTGACTGGGTGAGTGACTGGGTGAGTGACTGGGTGAGTGAGTGACTAGGTGAGTGACTGGGTGAGTGACTGGGTGAGTGACTGGGTGAGTGACTAGGTGAGTGACTAGGTGAGTGGCTTGGTGAGTGACTAGATGAGTGGCTGGGTGAGTGACTGGGTGAGTGACTGAGTGAGTGACTGGGTGAGTGACTGAGTGAGTGACTGGGTGAGTGGCTGGGTGAGTGGCTGGGTGAGTGGCTGGGTGAGTGACTGAGTGAGTGACTGGGTGAGTGGCTGGGTGAGTGACTGAGTGAGTGACTAGGTGAGTGGCTGGGTGAGTGACTGGGTGAGTGGCTGGGTGAGTGACTGAGTGAGTGACTAGGTGAGTGGCTGGGTGAGTGACTGGGTGAGTGGCTGGGTGAGTGAGTGACTGGGTGAGTGGCTGGGTGAGTGACTGGGTGAGTGACTGAGTGAGTGACTAGGTGAGTGTGGCTGGGTGAGTGACTGGGTGAGTGGCTGGGTGAGTGACTGAGTGAGTGACTAGGTGAGTGGCTGGGTGAGTGACTGGGTGAGTGGCTGGGTGAGTGAGTGGCTGGGTGAGTGACTGGGTGAGTGACTGGGTGAGTGGCTGGGTGAGTGACTGAGTGAGTGACTGGGTGAGTGGCTGGGTGAGTGGCTGGGTGAGTGACTGAGTGAGTGACTGGGTGAGTGGCTGGGTGAGTGACTGAGTGAGTGACTAGGTGAGTGGCTGGGTGAGTGACTGGGTGAGTGGCTGGGTGAGTGACTGAGTGAGTGACTAGGTGAGTGGCTGGGTGAGTGACTGGGTGAGTGGCTGGGTGAGTGAGTGACTGGGTGAGTGGCTGGGTGAGTGACTGGGTGAGTGACTGAGTGAGTGACTAGGTGAGTGGCTGGGTGAGTGACTGGGTGAGTGGCTGGGTGAGTGAGTGGCTGGGTGAGTGACTGGGTGAGTGACTGGGTGAGTGGCTGGGTGAGTGGCTGGGTGAGTGACTGGGTGAGTGACTGGGTGAGTGACTGGGTGAGTGGCTGGGTGAGTGGCTGGGTGAGTGAGTGACTGGGTAAGTGACTGGGTGAGTGACTGGGTGAGTGGCTGGGTGAGTGGCTGGGTGAGTGACTGGGTGACTGACTGGGTGAGTGGCTGGGTGAGTGACTGAGTGAGTGGCTGGGTGAGTGGCTGGGTGAGTGACTGGGTGAGTGACTAGGTGAGTGGCTGGGTGAGTGACTGGGTGAGTGAGTGACTAGGTGAGTGGCTGGGTGAGTGGCTGGGTGAGTGACTGAGTGAGTGGCTGGGTGAGTGACTGAGTGAGTGACTGGGTGGGTGAGTGACTGGGTGAGTGACTGGGTGAGTGACTAGGTGAGTGGCTGGGTGAGTGACTGGGTGAGTGAGTGACTAGGTGAGTGGCTGGGTGAGTGGCTGGGTGAGTGACTGAGTGAGTGGCTGGGTGAGTGACTGAGTGAGTGACTGGGTGGGTGAGTGACTGGGTGAGTGACTGAGTGAGTGACTGGGTGAGTGACTGGGTAAGTGAGTGGGTGGGTGAGTGGGTGAGTGACTAGGTGAGTGACTGGGTGAGTGAGTGGGTGAGCACCTCACCCCGATCTTGCCCATCTTGGCGGCCATCTTGAGTGGGGTGAGTCCATCGTGGTTGTTCACCGCCTCGAGGTTGAATCCCGGAAACTCACGAGCAGCCTGGGGGGGGGGGGGGGGGGGGGGGGGGGGGGGGGGGGGGGGGCAGGGGGGGAGGGGGCAAGTGGGGGGGGGATGATGGTGACTATGGTGGTGGTGGTGATGATGATGGTGGTGGTGGTGATGGTGGTGATGGTGGTGGTGATGGTAGTGGTGGTGGTGGTGGTGATGGTGGTGGTGGTGATGGTGGTGGTGGTGATGGTGGTGATGGTGGTGGTGGTGATGGTGGTGATGGTGGTGGTGATGGTGGAGGTGGTGGTGGTGATGGTGGAGGTGGTGGTGATGGTGGTGATGGTGGTGGTGGTGGTGATGGTGGTGATGATGTTGATGGTGGTGGTGATGGTGGTGATGGTGGTGGTGATGGTGGTGGTGATGGTAGTGGTGGTGATGATGATGGTGATGGTGGTGATGGTGTTGATGATTGTGATGGTGGTGATGGTGGTGATGGTGGTGATGCTGATGATGATGATGCTGATTGACCTGCATGAGAAGGGCGGTGTACATCTTGGTGACAAAGCGAGTGGTGATGGTGATGATGATGATGATGGTTAACCTGCATGAGAAGGGCGGTGTACATCTTGGTGACAAAGCGAGTGGTGACGATGATGATGCTGATGATGATGATTGACCTGCATGAGAAGGGCTGTGTACATCTTGGTGACAAAGCGAGTGGTGATGGTGATGATGATGCTGATGATGATGATTGACCTGCATGAGAAGGGCGGTGTACATCTTGGTGACAAAGCGAGTGGTGACGATGATGATGCTGATGATGATGATTGACCTGCATGAGAAGGGCTGTGTACATCTTGGTGACAAAGCGAGTGGTGATGATGATGATGATGATGATGCTGATGATGGTTAACCTGCATGAGAAGGGCGGTGTACATCTTGGTGACAAATCGAGTGGTGATGATGATGCTGATGATGATGATTGACCTGCATGAGAAGGGCTGTGTACATCTTGGTGACAAAGCGAGTGGTGATGATGATGGTGATGATGATGCTGATGATGATCCTGATGATGATTGACCTGCATGAGAAGGGCTGTGTACATCTTGGTGACAAAGCGAGTGGTGATGATGATGATGATGCTGATGATGGTTAACCTGCATGAGAAGGGCTGTGTACATCTTGGTGACAAAGCGAGTGTTGATGGTGAT